CCCCAAAACCCCAAAACCCCAAAACCCCAAAACCCCTTTAGGTAGTATTATTATTGAACTAAGGTTATTCGGGGTGACTAATACATAATCGAAACCCTTCAAATACTAATATTTTTTAAATATAATATGAAATCGCATCGAAATCTTTAGTAGAGCGAGTAAAACTAATCTGATGTATCTGACTTCATTTATTTCTATCCAAAAGTGTTATAAAAAGTTTCCAGCTCATCTCATTATAATATTGCTAACCAAATTTTAAATTCAGAATAGTCCCCTTCTCCCAGCCCTCTCATTCTGCTCCCTTAAGTTCATCCCTGTATTACTCCTTTAAACTATCAGCCTCCTTAGTCTCTAGCAGAGTTGACCAAAATTCAAATTTAACTTTTAAATCCTAACCAATCCTTCATAAATCTTCCCTAGCCAGTTAAATTAAAGCTAACTCAATATTGCTCAATAAACAATTCTCCCATAAACTTTCCGTTTAATAGCTCTTTGAAGGGCCTCCGGCCTTAGCTATTATTCCTGTTTAGTGGGAATCATTTTTTTATTTACAGTTACTTTTATAAACCATGACAGCGGTGAAAATTTTCTTCAACATTATATGAACATTTTCTAAAAATTTCCAAAGGAATTGACAAGAAGAGCTTAGGATAAGAGATTATCAGTATCGAATGAAATGGAAACTCCTCTAAACTTATTTAGCTTTTCATTATATCCATGAGTATCGTTGATAGAGTACTAAAAATATTTTCAAAAACGTAACTGCTGATTCCGAAGTCAATAATGGTGAAATGAGTAGACCCTTTTAATTTGATAATAGTAATATGATAACCAAAATTCATCCCCAGCCAGGGCCAGGACCATGACGAAAAAGTTTAAAGGACCAATTTTTAATAATATATTTATATTAGAAGGCTGATGAAGAGCCCCGTTTGAGTATTTGCAGTGTTTATAGAATCACTTTGAGTAATTTGTCTGAAGAGATTCTTCTCAGAGTGGACAAAATTTTAGCTCCTTCACATGCGGTTCAAGCGGTCTTATGAGTGTTTGCATTGATGGTTGAGGATTTTGAGAGTTTCTTTGAACTCTGTTCTTGGTCGCAATTGATCTTTAGTTCTTTAACAAAGCAATCTATTTGCATGCTGAAGGATGAGGAATGCTGGTGAAGGTCTTTATCTAGTACATAATCGGATAGGTCCTCTGACTTGACCTTCCCCTTGTTATTTTTCATAGTGTTTTTAAACTGTCTGGTTTTATTCAAAGACTGACGAGGCATATTATTAGAAGTTTCCTCGTTCACAGTTAGATCACTATCATCCCAAAGGTCTGAGATGTCCATTTTTAAAGATCCGGATAGTTTTTGAAATTTTTTCATTATTAATATTATTACTGTACTCACTCAATTTTTTACTCAATATACGGGGTTTTGGGGTTTTGGGGTTTTGGGGTTTTGGGGTTTTGGGG